TACCTCCTCCTCCCCCGTCCCAGGGCTGGTAGCCCAAGCTTGCTTTCGATGTGGGGCTGCTAGCCAAGGCGGGACCTCGCTAGCATCCCCCATAAACAAGCTGCGAGTTGGGGTCTCCCCAAGCAATGGGTGTCCCCCATTGGCAGTCCCAAATGCGGCCAACGGCCCCGAGGGACTGCTCAATGGCGGCCCGCTCGCAGACCTGGCAGTTTGGTCAGTGATCCTCCTCCTCCTCCTCCTCCTCCTCCTCCTCCTCCTCCTCCTCCTCCTCCTCCTGCTCCTCCTCCCCCCCCTCCTCCTCCTCCTCACCCTCCTCCTCCTCCTCCTCCACCTCCTCCTCCTCCTCCTCCTCCTCGTCCTCCTCCTCCTCCGTAGCCATTTTGGCTCATGCCGCCGCGCCCCAACATCTTGGCTCTATGTGCTAGCTCATGGCGCTGGATACTGGGAGCAGGCATGAACTGGCTGCGGGACCCGCCCCGTGTGTGTGGCGTGAAGACGTGCTTGGCGCGGCTGCAGCTCGGCGGCAGCGACGCGCGCGTACCGCATTGTCGGCCGATAATGTGGTCAGGGAACTCATTACGGAGAAGAACGTACTGCAGGAGCGCAGCAGATGGGCAGACGACCCTGAAGTACGACGGCGCATGGATGCCATTGTGCCTTTTCTCGTCGAGGAGGTCGAGGCTGCCAGGCGAGGTGCCACGCCTGCCCATTATCATAGGGAGCAGGTGCTGCGCAACGTCGCGTTGCATGTCCTCAACCTCCCCATGGACCAGCTCATGGACCTCTCGTTCAGGGCACTCAATCGAGTGCAACGGAGGCAGGGGCGCCAACTGGACCTTCGGACGGAGATGATCGAGGCGGATGCGACCCCGTTGCGTGCCGAGGCAACCGACTTCGTCCCGTCGGCGGGCTAATGGGAGCCCTTCGAGCCGTTCGCGCACACGCGCTGCACGGGCCTCGTCTGCACCTGCGGGACCACGGTGTTCTCCTCAGGCGCGGTCGCGGTGGTCGGTGGCCAGGTTGACGGAGCGGCGGCGAAAGGGATCGCAGCCCAGAGGGCCCCTACGGGGGATGACTGCCCTGCCGAGGGCGCCGCGGGCGCTGCCGCTGCAGAGGCGACGGGCGCCGACGTGAGGGCCCCTACGGGGGATCACTGGCCTGCCGCAGGGGCCGCGGGAGCGTCGCTGGACGCGCAGGCTGCTGCAGTTCAGTGCCCACCCCATGGGGCCTCATACATGGGGGGCTGGGGGGGACGGGGGCGAATTCCCCCGTCTCCTGCCCGCGTGGACCACAGGGGGCGCACTCGCCCTGGGGGCTTGGGAACGTTTCCCATTCGGCTGGCCGAAACTGCTCGTGGTGACGAGCCTGGAGGCGCCGAATCCCCGCTGCCCGACGCCGAGCTCGAGGAGAAAGAGTCCGACGCCAACGTCGTCTCGCCATCCGCTACCGTGGCCGACGCTGCTGCCCTACGACCTGGTGGATCTTCGAGTTCAGGAGTGTGGTGGGCCGCCCGAGCGTGCATCTCCCAAGGCGTGGTTGGAAGCGAAACGGCCGTCGGCCTCCACCCCTAGTCACCATCCTGTTCACAGTGCGTGCGAGAAGTCTGGGGCGAAGTTGCAGCCCGACGTGATCAGCTACAGTGCTGCGACCAGGACGGGCGAGACGGGGGGAGAGAATTCTGAGCTCAACGATTGGGGGAACAGTGTTACTAGAGCGAGACTTGTACGAGATGCTGAGACTCTTCGGGGAGGGCAGGCCGCTTCTTTCCTGCCTAGTGGTTCGGCTGTGATCGATTGGGCTGCCGCCACCCGAAGTAGTGAGCCGCAGAGGTGTAAGCAAATGTGAGTTGATGGTTATGCGTGCGTGTATTCTGCAGCTTTGAACGGTCCTTGATCTTGTGCAGGCCTCTCTGGGTCCATGTTCTGTGCTTTTGTGCGCAGCGTGACTTTGGTTGAATACGGCGGGCAAGTTTCGGCACATGGCAAGGGAGTTCTCACAGGACCACGCGGGTTTCAAATCCCAAGGTCCTGAGGCAGGATGGCGCAGGTCTGGCGTTCGAGAGTGTGCTATGAGTTCGGGTGCTTCGTCAGGATCACACTCGTGATGGTGTCCGCTCCACTCCTCCTCCTCCTCCTCCTCCTCCTCCTCCTCCTCCTCCTCCTGCTCCTCCTCCTCCTCCTCCTCCTCCTCCTCCTCCTCCTCCTCCTCCTCCTCCGCCTCCTCCTCCTGTGAAACCCCCACACGCCCTCCCCCCCATCCCCAAACTCCTCCCCATCCCCTTCCATCGTCCCCCCTTCACCTACCCTCCCTCACCCCACTCTCCCTCCTCCGTGGAGGAGAGCCCTGATGAGGGCCGGCAATGAAACACCGTACACTGGAGTGGAGGCCGACCCCTGCTGGCCGCGGCCGCAGTCCCAGCCTTGGAGCCGAGGACGTCGAAGAGCGTCAACACCTGGCCCCCCCGCCCGCCCTCCCCCCAAACCCCCTCGCGTCGCGAAAAGATCACCCCCTCCCCTGGCCCCCCCCCCACCCCCCCCACCTCGAAAACTGGGGGGGGTCCCTACCGGTTCGAACCCCCCCCCTCGAAAACCGGAGGGGGGGTCACTACCGGTTCGAGCCCCTCCCGCCCCCCCTCACCGACAGCAAAAGACTCCGTGTCCCTACCACCGTCCGCACCACATCCCCCATTGTTGTTCCCAGCACCACTGTCCTCACCACCACTGTCCCCACTGGTTCCACCACCGTCCCTACTGTCTCCACCAGTGCCCCTACCACTGTCGCACTGTCCCCACTGTCCCCACCACTGTTCCCACCACGGTTCCACTCTCCCCACTTTCTCCACGGCCCCCAACAACTGCCCGACTATCCCCACTGTACCCACTTTCCCACTGACTCCTCCGCTGTCCCACTGAGCTGTCCCACTGTTCCCACCACTTTCCCCACTGTCCCCACCACTGTCACCACCTGTACCCCTGTCCCATTGTCCCATCGCCGTCCTCGCCACCGCCTTCACCACTGTCCCCACCACCACCGTACCCTCCACTGTCCCACTGTTTCCACCACATTCCCACTGTCCCCACACCACTGTCCCCACCACCACCGTCCCCACCACTGTCCCACTGTCCCCACTTTTCCCACCATTGTCCTCACCACTGTCCCCACCACCACCGTCCCCACCACTGTCCCACTGTCCCCACTTTTCCCACCATTGTCCTCACCACTGTCCCCACCACTACCGGCCCCACCACTGTTCCACTGTCCCCACCACTGTCCCGCTGTCCCCTCACCACTGTCCCCACCACCACCGTCCCCACCACTGTCCGCACCCCCCCCCCTCGGTTTTCGAGGGGGGAGGTTCGAACCGGTAGTGACCCCCCCCCCGGTTTTCGAAGGGGGGGGGTTCGAACCGGTAGTGACCCCACCCTTTTCATGATGGACTGGGGGGGGGAGGGGTTCGAACCAGTAGTGACCCCCCCCGGTTTTCCGGAGGGGAGGGGTTCGAACCGGTAGTGACCCCCCCCGGTTTTCCGCCAGCAGCGGTAGAACACGCTCTTTCCTTTATAACAGTCCCGTGGCCCCGGGAGCCCGAAAACGGCAATAAATCTGCGGACCCATTTCCCCCATGGCGAGGTTTTGAACAACTTTCGGCCCCTGAAACCCTCCTCCTCCCTCCTCCCTCCTCCTCCGCCGCAGCCCCCCCCCCTCCGCGGGCAGCCCGTTCAGGCCGTCCAGCTGTGCGAGAAGCAACCGCAGCAGCGTCACGGACTCCCCGCGCTGGCGCAGCAGCCCAGCCCTGCGCACCCTCCCTGCCCCTCCGCCCCTTTCACTACGGGACACAAACAAAGACAAAACTTAAGAACCCGGGATCAGCGCGGATGCGGCGGATCGGCGCTGGGGGGCCCCTGGCGGCGACTCTGCGCCGCCTCTGGCGCCGCCTCTGGCGAGCTCCACGCGCCAAGGACGGGGTCCAGCGCTAGTTTGAAAAATCCGCGCGGAACTCCGAGCCCCTATGTTTCTGTCAGTGCTGGTTCCCCTATTCACTTGCCCAATGGCACACTGCTGTTGGTAGTACGTCAGCGTGCTACTCCTGCGTTGCTATCCGAAGGCCTGGTGTTCTTTAACATTACTTCGCCGCTACGAAAATCCGGCCGAAATGCAGCGCCTCCTGTGAGGCGAGGGGGCCCGGGTACGACGCTGTCAATGGTGTTGTGCCCGCGACAAAAGAGGAGACGTCAAAAAGGGGCCTGGTAGGCCGCGGGGCCCCAATGCAATGAGCTGTTCAAGCATTGTTTCGCTCAAGTCTCAGACGGAACGGCCCTTTCGAATTCGAACCCGATGGTTTCGAAATCCAGTCGAGATCTTGATTGAAGGAAGCCTTGGGCGGGAACACCATTTCGAAATCGATCCCCGAAGTGTCGAAATCATTCGAAACTGTTTGTGTTGGGGAAGTCTCAAGTGAAAAAAACACGTCCGAATTCTCGGGTCAGAAAATTGGGATCTTAAATGTCAAACGGTGTGGCCATTTCGAAACGACGGTTTCGCTTGAGCCTTCCTCAAGGAACAATTCCGAACGATTTCTAAATGTTCGGGCTCGATTTCGAAATGGCGCTCCTGCCCCCAAGACTTTCTCCAAACTAGAATTCGAAACCTTTCTGGTTAGATTTCGGAATGGCGCTCCCGCCCAAGAGCTCCCCCGAAACAAAAATCGGAGACTTCCAGGTTGGATGGCGAAATGGCGCTCCCGCCCAGGACTTCCTGGAAACTGGAGTTCGACACCCTTTGGCTCGATTTCGAGATGGCGCCCCCGCTCAGGACTTCCTCGAAAATAAAGGTCGGCACGTCTTCAGCTCGAATTCGCAGTGACGCTCCAGCCTCAGACGTGTCTTGGAGGAGGCACGAAACAGGTCAAACCTTTCGCAGCGACGATGTAGCACGCTGATGGCTTCCCCATGGGAGGTGTCACAGACTCTGGTTTAGCTCCCCGACTTGCCCCTGCCCCTTGCCCCTTCTGCCTCTGACTATTCCTGCCCTTGCCCCTTCCCCTGCCCCTCCCCCTGCCCCTTCCCTTGCCGGTGCCCCTGCCCCTTATCCCTGCCCGCTACCCTGCCAGTGCCCTTCCCTATTGAGACCCGTTATGTCACCAATCAGCGCTTGCACTGGAGGAGTCCTCGCGGCGTTTGCAAGGATTTGGTGCAAGTCTCCTGCCGATGCTGGTGCCGATTGCAGATTTGGCGTAGGACTTGGCGTAGGATGGCCAGTCGTGGATGGATTTGGTGGGAATGTGCCGCCGATGCAAGCGGGTGGCCGGATTCCCAGGTTCCCGATTCTGGGTCTCGGTGAAAGATTCCCACCGGTTCTGGTTGACGGCGGGGTTCTGAGGCTCCGTGAAAAGAGAGCACAGTGTCCGAGAGTAGAAAGTGGCGAGTGGAAAGGGAGTCCAGAGCCCAGGAGCCCAGAGCACACCTTCGCTTCATTGGGAGCCCAGCTTAGAAGCTCTGGCAGAGAGCAGAGCCCAGGTGTGGGCAGGGCTCCAGGGCTCCAGATGTAGGGAGTGGAGATTAGGAAGATCACCGAAGAGTGCAACACAAATATGAACAGCGTAAGTCCACCACCGTGCCTCAGGCACGAAGCGGAGTGCCCCAAGGCTCGTGCAGCACTGAGAGCGAGAGGGAGGCCCCAAAACGGCCCAAGGGGGCCCCAAGATGGCCCGGGAGGCGCCCAAGACGGCCCAAGGGGCCACCAGGACGACCCCAAGAGGGGGCCCAGATGGGGGACCCGAACGTATGTTTCGAGCACTCGGCCCCAAGGGGGCCCAGGAGGCCCGACGAGGCCCCCAAAGAGGCCCTCAAGAGGCCCCAAGAGGCCCCCAAGAGGCCCCCAAGAGGCCCCAAGAGACCCAAGAAGCTTCCAGAAGGTTCCCAAGAGACCCCCAGACTGGTCGCAAGAGGCCCCGGAGAGCGCTCCGAAGAGACCCGATAAATTATCCCTGAGAACTCTCACCCACAAACCAGGCACAGTCGCGGGATGGGCCGAAGGCCATTAGGCAAATAAATTGTGGTTCGGGCGGAGGGAAGGTGGAAAGGTCGAATTCGAACAACAGAAATCAAGAGCTCGAAAACAAGCTCACAAGTTTAATGATACCCCAAAAAGTTTACACGGTTTGGACGAAGTTGGAAAACATGGGGGACAGTACAAGCACCATTTCAATCTAACTCAAGAATATGGAAAGTTTGGAAACGAGTTTGTAATGTCCAGAACCAATTCAAGAGTTCAGGAAAGTTCAAACGCGCTCCAAATGTTCCGAACGTCTTCGCTGTCGAATTGTAGTCAATGGGAGAACAAAAAGCCGACACCGGCACCAAAAAAGTATTTGTTCCGCGAAATTTTAAAATGCGCTTTGGACCAGGGTGGCCCCGCCCTGGCCTGAGGAAACGCAAAACAGCCAGGGAGGGCGGGGGAAAGGAGTTGCCGCGAAGCAGGTAGGAAGGAGGACAGGAAACAAAAAGTGCAAGCGAGAAGCGAAACTGGCGGGCGCTCTCGGGAGAGGAAGGAGAAAAGAGAGAAGAATGCGGCATCCTCCATGACCGAAGCCTCACTCCCCCCACCGCCGCCCTCCCCCACGCTTCCCCCCGCCCGCTCGCCCCCCTCACACGCCCCCCCCCCCCTCCCACACCCGCCCTCTGTCCGCCCGCGTCGCATCCCTGACCCTCGATTTGCCCGAAGCCAGCACCCGACGATTCCGAACCGCCTGCTCCCCGCGAGTGGGGGCGGCGGCCACCCTGCGCGTTTGGGGCCAAAGAGTGTGGTTTACTCTTGACCCGGGCCGGCAGCCCCTAGCAAACTTCCGACATCGTCGAGGGGTTCAGCTCGCCCACGGGGCCGCCGATCCAGAGGAGGCCTTGGTGCTGGTGTCGGCTTTTTGATGTTGCAGTGAACGAAAAGCCGGCACCAGCACCAAGACGCCACTGGAAAAGTTGGCAGCGGTTTCCCTGTGGGGGTTGAGCGATCCAAAGGAGCCTGGAAAGCTTGAGATGGTTGGCATTGCTCTCCGAACTTGCAGGCCATGGGGCTTGCATGATAGAAAAGCGTCCCATGGGGCTCATGGCGCCCCTAGGCCCCATGGGGACGCGCCAGGCCCAGAAACCCGATGTGGCCCTGACGAGTCATGGAGCCCATGGGGCCCGCGCGGCTCGCTAGGCCAGCGCGGCGCACTTGGCCCATGCGCGCTGCGTCGCACGTGCGGCCCAAGAATCCTTTGTGGGTTCGCACGGCTGGGTTCGCACGACCCACGGCCCTCGCGCGGCCAATGGAAATCCGAACGCCCACCTGGGGAAATAGAAACGGCCCGCCTTGTTCCCACGCGCTCAGAGCTGGCATTCATCAACGCGGGACACGCGAGCCCGAAGACACGGGCGACGGCAGTCAACGGAGGCTATGATTTTTTCTTTTCCAATGGGATCTTGGTGTTGGTGTTTCCGCACATCGAGATTCTAGCAACGTTGGAGAAGCTTGCAAAACGATTGGCCTGGTAATGTTTACGAACTTTGATTATTTTAACACGAGGGCCGTCTGCGCCCCCTCAGCCAGTTACAAGTCAAAGCCCGCTGGGTACTGGGCCATCCTCACACTTGTGGGAGGCGCCGCTTGATTAGCAGGGGTCGGAAAAATCCAACACCCTGGCAAGCTCAAAAGTCAAAGGGACCCCGACTGGAAAAACTCAAGAAGGCCTCCTGGCGATGAGTGAATGGCACGCCCCCTCTGCGCGCCCGTGCTGCGGGGAGGCCCAAGAGATCAGCGCGCTTTGGCGCGCGCGCCTCGGAACCCTGGGAAAAGAAGTCGCCGCGTTGGAGCATCCCCCCCGTGGCCCGAACCCCGAAGGTGGGCCGTGGGTTTGCTAGGCGTGCACGCGGGACGCTGGCCCAAGCTGGGCCGGTGTGAAATCAGGCGCAAACAGCCCTACTCTGGATGGCACAATAATCGCCCCCCCCCCCCCCCCTTGAATCCGCAGGGGGGGGTTGGGCAAGGCATGTGCCGTCGGAACGGGTTGAGGGGGATTGGAAGAGGAGGAGGAGGAGGATGATGAGGGGGGGGGAGAGGATGGACGGGGGCGAGATTGGGCAAGCTCGGTCGGAAGGTGGATCGCCTCCCCCTTGATTAAATACCCCATCCAGAGAGCCCAGCGGGGGGTGCAGGGGCCTCCCCGCGTGGACCTACGGGGCGACACGGCCCGGGAACCGGCGGCCGCGCAGGCACGGCTGCCCCCAGCTCCGCCCAGCCCCACGCCGACGGCGCCACGAAGCACCGCAATCGAGGGGGCCAGGCAGGAGCAGAGGAGGTGCCGGGGCCCTGCCACCCGTCGGCGCACGAGGGGGCTTACACCCCCCGTATGGGGGCCGAGTGCAGTGCAAAGGAAGCCAGGCCCCTGGACGCAGCCAGGGGCCCTCGCGCGACGATGATTGCCAAAGACCGTGTAGCAGATCCCGAACTGCACAGGGGAGAGAGGAGAGGAGAGCACACCGATTCGAACATAGTCTGTTCAGGTCCGCGGAGTGCCAGCTCCCAACCTCGAAAGGCGGGAGGTGCCGCTTGTCAGAAGCAGGGGTGAGACTACCTGCCCCCTGGCGCGGTTTGCGGAGACCCGACTGAAAAGCTCACCCCTTCTGCATTCCCGTAGACAGAGACGCCGGCTGTACACACGCTTTGGCCTACGTGACACGGCGAGAGAAGAGGAGAGAAGACCAGGAGCAGCAGCAGCAGCAGCGGGAGCAGCATGAGAGCGAGAGCAGCAGGCGAGGGACGAGGATAAACCGCCGGCGTGTGATTCGTGTATCCCGCCGCGCGGCGGGCGGCCGCCACGAGGAGGAGGAGGAGCAAGAGGAGCAAGAGGAGGAGGAGGAGGAGGAGGAGGAGGAGGAGCAGGAGGAGGAGGGGTAGGAGGGGTAGGAGGAGAGTGAAGGGGAGGAGAGCAAGGAGGAGGAGGAGGAGGAGGAGGACAGGAGGAAGACAGGAGAGGACAGGAGAGGAGACGAGAGCGAGGAGGGAGGAGAGCAAGAAGGAGGGAGGAGGAGGAGGAGGAGGAGGAAGAGGAGGAGGGGGAGGGGGGAGGAGGGGGAGGAGAAAGGAGGCAGGAGGGAGGAGGGGAGGCAAGGAAAGTGAGGGAGGATCGGAGCGGCATAACCAGAGGAGGACGATCGGAAGACGAGAGGGCGACGACTGGAGCTGGCGGGCCCAGGCAGGCAGACTCCCGGCCCCTCCGCGGCCGCGCGGCGCCAGCGGCCCGCTTGAACGCGGCCGCCTCGAGCCTGCTGGTCGGGGGGAGGGGGGGGGGCGATGGTCGGGCGGATAGAACAACGCACATGCACAGGTCTTGGCCAGGCCCCTCCTTGGCCCAGGATCGGTGCAGATGCCTTCCTGGCCAGGGCAGGAGGGCGTATGTACAGATCCTGGGCTCTGGATGGGCCTGGCTAGAATGGGTGTCTTTGCACAGTTCCCCTTCCTGTAGAAGGGGGGAAGCTGCATGAGGGGATGGGATGGGACTTAGACGATCGGCCGAGCCGCAGCGTCGCCGCCGCGGCGGCTCCCCGAGCTACGCACAGCTCGAGGCCGAAAAAGTGCACGAGCACGCCGCACCCGCACATGAGGAGAGGGGAGGCGGCGGCGGGAGGGGGGAGGGAGAAAGAGGGAGGTCGGGTAGTACAGTGCGGGCCACACGCTCGCACGCCCCCGCGCGCACATGACAAGACCACCAGCTAAATCGATATCTCTTCAAAACGCTAATGGGGGGGCGACATCAGATCACCATCATCATCATCATCATCATCATCATCATCATCATCATCATCATCATCATCAGCAGCAGCAGCAGCAGCAGCATCAGCATCAGCATTATCATCAGCATCATCAGCATCACCATCGCCATCATTATCACCATCATCATCATCAGCAGCATCATCATCAGTATCCTCCTCCTCATCCTCATCTTCATGATCAGCATCATCATCGTCATCATCATCATCATCATCATCATCATCATCATCATCATCATCATCGTCAGCGTCATCACCATCATCATGGCCATCATCATCAGCAGCATTGTCATCATCAGCATCAGCATCTTTTATCATCATCGAAATCCGCAGAATCAGCAACAGCAGCAGCATCAGGATCAGCATCAGCATCATCATCAGCATCAGCATCATCATCATCATCAGCATCATCAGCAGTATCAGCATCAGCATCCTCATCATCGTCCTTATCATCGTCATCATCCCCAGTATCATCAACAGCAGCAACCTCACCATCAGCATCAACATCATCATCGTCAGCATCATCAGCATCACCATCATCATCTTCATCAGTTTCCGCCTCCTCCTCCTCATCATCAGCAGCAGCATCAGAATCATCATGGGCAACAGCAGCGGCAGCAGCATCGTCATCATCGTCATACGCCCGCCCAAGTCGAGGATCTACATGAGAATATTCCGAACACGATTGCGCCTGATGAGATGCGCTTACCAACTCCGACTTGTAAGACTTGTAACCGCACTCACGGCCTCTTGAGCATTGCTGACAAATTGCGGGCTGGTGGGTGGAATGTTTGCTCGAGCACTAGTGGACGACCTCAAGCTCCTCAAATCCCATCAGCCCTTTGCGCTAAGGTGGTCTCACGCGGTTTGTCTTTCCTCTTCCAAACCCACTTCCACTCGGGGAGGGGTGCCCTCCCCCTCCCCTCCCTGAGGTTGTTTGGGCAGTTCCGCGAGGGGTGAGAGCGTCCAAGATGACCCAAGATGGTTCCAAGAGGGCCTCCGATGCTCCAAGATGGCATCAGATGCCGCACGACATAGCCAAAGTTAGTTCAATATAGATTCAAACATACATCCTAGAGGCCCGACGAGGGCCACAAGACGGCTAGGGGTGCACCGGAATCAAGGTAGAACCGCATGCGGGCGCTACCGATGGGGCTCTCGATGGTGGCCACGAAACGTGTGAGGGGTGTGCCGAAGCTGATAGCGATGATGATCATGATGATGATGATGGTGATGGTGGTGATGATGGTAATGATGATGATGATGATGATGATGATGATGATGATGATGATGGTGGTGACGATAATTATGATGGTGATGATGGTGATGGTGGTGATGATGATGATGGTAGTGATGGTGGTGATGATGGTGGTGATGATGATTATCACGATGATCGTGATGAGAATGGTGGTGATGGTGACGATGATGATGATGCTGATGATGTTGGTGATGATGCTGCTGCTGATGATGATAATGATGATGATGATGATGGGAGGGGGGATGGGGAGGAGGAAGTAAGGAACGCGAGGCGCTGTCTCGTCAAAACAAGGACTCAACACCACAGGAGGCTTGGGAAAAGCTGGAAGTATTGAGTCGGAGCGCTGGTTTTGTTGGAAATCCTGCTTTCGGCGGCGAGCAAAGCCCCAGTCACGAGTAGAAAAAGAAGAAGTATCGAGCGGGAGCGTTGTTGTTGTTGTTGTTGGGAAGGCGCTTTGGCGGAAGCCCGAAACGCCTGAGCGTGAGCCTAATTTTCACAGCCGGCGCCGAGGCGAGAGTGCCAGGGCGCATGTAGGGTGTCATGCAACACGTTACCAACCCTCGGTATCCCCGCCCTCTTCGTCTTCGATCGGTTCCCCCTGGTGGTATACATCTTCCTCCTCTGCCACGTGTTCTTACACATGGAAACAGAGGACGAATGCAAGGGGGAGGAAGAAGGATGGAACACCAGGGAGATTAGCAGGAGGGGGGGCAGGAGCAGAAACACGTGGCAGAACCAGACGGGCAGATCGGGCGGGTAGACACGGGTAGACCCTGACGGGCGGGTCGGGAAGGCGAGCCCAGGCGGCCAGGTCGAGTTGCTGAAGCGTGGGTCCTGCATGGATCGCGAGGAAGTCTCGAACGATAGCGCGATGTCCAAGTAAATCGCGGAAAATGCCAAAGCGAGAGCGTGATTCCTGAGTGTCGAAGGCGCGGCGTCTGAATACATTGCGAGGAAGTCCCACACGAGAGTGCGCATCCTCCATGGGTTATAAGGAAATCCCGCGCGACATCTCGATTGTACTTTAAATGACGAAGCATGTTAAGCAAGAGCCGTTGTTATTGTTGTTGTTGTTGTACACCGGGGGCCAAGGGCACAGTCTAAACCCCAAGACTTTCTCTTGTACAACACTGGGCGCGAACACCCGGATGATCATGTCCATTGAAAAACGCAACGGCAACTGGGGGAAGGCTCAACAACAGCAGCAACGACAACAACAATCATTGTAAGACTGATCGCTCTTATCTGCTCGCGAATAAGTCAACACGTACATCCCAAACCGTCGATACCAGCCCTCTGCGTCTTCGATCGCAAACCCTGCGGCTGATCTTCCTTACCTGCAACGTGTATTTCGTGCAGCCCCTGAGGCAGGGGAAGAGAGGACGGATGGAAGTAAGGGACAAGCGGAAGGGAGGATGATGGAACACGAGAAAAGAACAGAAGGGGGGCTAGGAACAGAGAAAAAGACATAACCAGACGGGCACATCGGGCGGATGGGCCCTCGCAGGCGGGTCGGGAAGGTGGGCCCAGGCGGCCAAGTCGAGCAAGCGGGTTGCTGAAGCGTGCGTCCTGCATGAATCGCGATGAGGTCTCTAGCGATAACATGATCTGCAACGGGGCCACGAAGGCCACCGAGGGGGCCACGAAGGAACGGGGCCACGAATGGTAGCGAGGGGGCCACGAAGGGCTGCAACGGGGCCACGAAGGGCAGCGAGAAGGCCACGAAGGGCTGCAACGGGGCCACGAAGGGCAGCGAGGGGGCCGCGCAGGGCTGCAACGGGGCCACGAAGGGCAGCGAGGGGGCCACGAAGGGCAGCGAGGGCCACAAAGGATTGCAACGGGGCCACGAAGGGCAGCGAGGGGGCCACGAACGGCTGCAACGGGGCCACGAAGGGCAGCGAAGGGACCACGAAGGGCTGCAAAGGGGCCACGAAGGGCAGCGAGGGGGCCACGAAGAGCTGCAACGGGGCCCCGAAGGGCAGCGAGGGGGCCACGAACGGCTGCAACGGGGCCACGAAGGGCAGCGAAGGGACCACGAAGGGCTGGAATGGGGCTACGAAGGGCAGCGAGGGGGCCACGAAGGGCTGCAACGGGGGCCACGAGGGGCAGCGAGGGGGGCGCGAAGGGCTGCAAAGGGGCCACGAAGGGCAGCGAAGGGGCAACGAAGGGCTGCAACGGGGCCACGGAGGGCAGCGAGGGGGGCACGAAGGATTGGAGCGGGGCCACGAAGGGCAGCGAAGGGGCAACGAAGGGCAACAACGGGGCCACGGAGGGCAGTGAGATCCCGATTCGTAAATAAGTAGCGAGGGAGTCCTAGGCGTGAGCGCGACTCATGGGTGCCTGAATGTCGGGAGCGTGGCGCTTGAGTAAATCGCTGGGGATTCCAACGCAGAGGCGCGATTAGTAAATACACTGCCAGCAACTATCCAGCGAGAGCGCGACTCCAGAGCGCCGAGAAAGCGATTCCTTGATTCATTGGCGAGACAATTCCAAGCGAGAGCTCGACTGCTGAGTTAAATGCAAGAAATCTCAAGCGGGGGCGGAGGTCATGGCTAAACTGTGAAGTTGTAGGCGGGAGCCGCTGCTGTTGCAAACCGGGGGCCAAGGGCATAGTTTAACCCCGTGACTTCCCCCTGGTAAAAAATTATGCGAACCGCTGGGGGGAGCACTTCAATTTAAACAACACAATGGTCATTGCAGGGGATCAACAATAATCATTCCTACCGGAATGAAACTTCAACGACAATCAACAACAGCAGCCACCACACCAACGGCGACAACAACGACACCAACAACAACACCACCACCACCGCCAACAACAACAGCAACAATAACAACAACAACACAACAACAACAACAACAAGAACAACCACAACAACAACAACGGCAACATCATCAACAACAACAACAACATCAACATCAACATCAACTACACCAACAACAACAACGACGACAACAACAACAACAACAACAGCAACAACAACAACAACAACAACAATCATTTTACCCGAACGCTCAGTGTTCTCACCAGTGCCAGGGTTTTCATACGACGCCCGCCAATACCCCCACTTTGTGGGGGGGCCGGTTCAAGCTCTACCATATTTCCAAACGACTCTTCGCCACCACCCACACCCAGCTTCCCGCCCTATGACGTTCGGACACTTCACTTCGTGGCATGCGGACGACCGTGGCTACTACACTGGCGCATGGTTTCAAGAAAAAACGACATGTGTCCCGC